GCGGCGGCGGGGGAGGCGGTGGGGGGTGTGTGGGCATGACCCGGGGAGCCCCTGATGAGCTGGTGTCTTGCTGGGAGTTGGAGAGTCCCACTGAGGAGGGAGGGGAGCCTAGGAGGGTCAGTGCGACGTAGGCGCCAGCTGGGGAAGAGGAGCAAGACAAGGACAGTGCAGTGATGAGATGGCTGAGAATGGGAAATCCTTCTGTGCCACACCAGCGTGGCAGGGCTGTAGGCTAAATCCAAGGCCAAAGGGATGCCTGTGGGGGTGGAGCAGGGGCATTCAGGAAGGCTTTGCCATCCAGCTCCAGGTCAGAGATCTTGCCCCTTGACCCAGCTCTCCCATGCTGCAGGGCCTCACTGTCTCTCCCCAGGAGCAGACCAGCAGCTTGCTAACACGCCGGCTAGCAGACAAGGGCTGTGGCCATGCTCACGGCAGTCTGTAGAGCCGGCTACCCACAGAAGCTGCCATGCGGCCAGGATTGCTTCTGTGCTGGGGCCCTGAAGCACACGTTCCCAGCAGCATGGCGACTGCTTACTGCCACTGTTGGAGCGCCTGCAGGCCCCAGGCAAGATTGGAGCTAGTGCTGCGAGTCCCAGGCTGGCGGTAGGAGATAAGAACACGTGGTCCAGGAGATAAGGTGGGCCAGGAGTGGGCAGGGACTTGGAGGCAGGGAAATAGGAAGCGATTCACCCCAAGGTCATGTAGCAGCTCAGTGGGAGAGCTGAGATTATAACCTATGCATCCTGGCTCCCAGGCTCAGCCTGAAGTGCAGGTGCATGGGGAGATGGCACAGCCATGGCCACCCTCTGCTCATTCTCTGCCACCCTGGAGGGTCCCTTTGCTCTGGAGGGCAGCAGGGAGCTCCATCTGTCTACCCTGTCCCTACATATCCATGACAAGCCCCCTGCCTGCCCAGAGCCAGCCCTGGTGGCTTACACCAGCCAACAGCCTCCTGTTGCTAGCACCCAGGGCTGGACTCGAACCACCAACCCAGGGGGTACACAGCTCCATCGGCCTGCCCCCCATTACCCCACTCACATTTGATGAGCTTCACCACTTCGAGATGCGAGCTGTTTGTTACCATTGTGCCGTTCACCTGGGACAGGAGAGAGGCATGAGCGAGGCCCATGGCCCCGGGGGTGTCAGCCTGGGGATGATGGGACTGGGAGGTCGTGCTCACCTTGACAATGCGGTCCCCTTCCTGCACACCCGCCCTCATGGCTGCTCCTCCTGCAAGGCAACGAGCACAGAGTCAGGCCTGTCCTGGCAGCTGGGAGGGGGCTGCAGGGAACAGCGTGACAGTTCCAGTCGCTGGGGTTGACAGAGTCTGCAACTCAGGGGTCAGCAAAAGAAAGGAGGTCCAGCTCTGTAACATGCAGTAGATGCAACTGGGTCCCTCCCAGGTCAGTGCTAGTCTGCTTCACAGTTGCATGCAACACTCCCTCCATGGGAGATGGCACTGTGTTATCAGCACTTGGTCCAACAGGGCCCCGATCCTGCAAACTTCAAGGTGACCCCAAACCGGAGAGGGAAAAAAAGCCACTGACCTGCTTGGAGGGGCTGTGCCCCACCAACCACTGCCCAGCACCATGGGATAGAGGTGAGCGCAAAGCAAACAACCCAGCGCTTGCTCCCAATGCAGCTGGAAACCAAAGCACCTGAGGTAGCCAGCCCTGGTTCCCACAAGGCCATTATTCAGTCCATGGGGCTGCTCAGCAAGGAGCAGCGACATGACATGCAGAGCCGCAGTCAGAAGCCCCAGAGCATTGTCCAAAGGCCGCCTGTCCTTACAGAAGCCCCCTGATCCCAAAGAGCACTGACAGGAAGCACCTGCCTGTGTTCAGGCAGGCGCCAGAACAGGACCCGCATGGATCCGGTTTCAAGAGCGGAGCCCAAGCACCAGAGAAACAAGGCTGGCAGGGCCCAAACCCATCTTGTCCAGCCTCCGGCCCTCACCAAACCGTCCCAGCCATGCACGCATCCACCCTGCGCTGAAAAGCTTCTGAGCATGGAGATCCCCCAAATCTCTCGTGGGTCTGTTTCAGCCCTCAATTCCCTCTGGGTGGAGAAAGCTCTTCCTCGGACCCAATCACTACCAGCAACAATATTCACACCCCCTTTCTTCAATGAAGCTGTTAAGATTTAGCTGCACTGAAGAATCCTCCTTCGCGAAAGCCGAACCCAAGAGACCTGTTTCTGCGAGGGGAAGCTCCAGATGGAGAAAACTGGAGAGGAATAAAAGAGGCCAAAGGTGGAAAGAGCATGGGATAACTCAGGCTCCAGTGGCTCCGATACACTGGTGCTGCTTGAGCCCAGAGTGGCCATGGGGGGCACTGCAGAGAGGCCGCAAGCTGCAGCCATGCTGGGTCAGGGAAGTGACTGCCCACAGTGAGAGGAAAGGAGGTTTCTTTTATTAAATGCCTGGTCCGGGCCCCAGATGCTGGCGGCATGCAGGCAGGGCCAGGCTCCAAGCAGAGGCAGGACTGGCCCTTCCCAAACCTACAGGAGCTCTGTCCATGTCCCTCCACACAACCGAATTCTCCCTGGCCTGCACGTCATCTTGGGGGTGGGGGGGAGGGTCATTTGGCAATAACAGCGGCTCATTGTGTATTTAAACGGCGACTCAAAGCCCTGCCACCCTGCAAAGCCATTAGACAGCAAAACCAAGAGCGCCCGCCCCACCCCCCCGC